CTTATACGCGATGTCATTCAGGGAAAACTTACGTCGAAAAAAGAAAAGCGTTAGTAGGGAGGTGATTAAGAGACAAAAGAACCTTTTCCGGTTTTTAGGTATTAGATCATTTTTATTTATTATTCGTTACTAGATTTAAAAAGGGAAAAGGAAAATAGAGAATATTAGGTTTTAAATTTTATTTAATATTTAAATATATTTTACTTAGATTTATAATCATAATTATAAATTACACAAACACAATATGTACATTTTATATTAATCCACTTAATAATAAAGTTAATAAAAAAAAAGTTTTACAAAAAATATTGACATTTTATCTTACATAGCTGACATTAATATTTTTACATTCTTCTTCTTATATATACCGTACTTAACTATAACAAGCGTTTGAGGTCGGAAAACTCGTTCCAAACTTAAAAATAAGAGAGAGAACCGATTCGAATAAGAAGAAGAAGAAGAAGACGAAGAAGAAGAAGATGAAAACGTTATTCGCTCGCAAAACCGTAGGGGAGAGAATAACGATTTTTGATAAATCTTCGTTTTACCAATACCGGTGCGCACGTTTTTGTTTCATTTCGCGTTACGATCTCGTGAAACGCTGTGCGTCGGATTGCGCTAAAACTCAGATTTATATTACGTCGCGATGTTACTTCCTCTTCTTCTTCTTCTTCTTCTACTCCGTACCTTTCTCTCTCATTTTCTATTATTAATCTTCTGATACTATCGAAATTTACCCTAAGCGAGTTCCTATAATTAAGCGTTATTCCTTTTACTTTACAAATTTCATGCAGGCGATCTTCCGGTGTACGAACAACGTACGCATAGAATTTCGGGCCAGCCGACAAGAACGACTCGATATAACTACCGCGGCCGTAGTTTTCGAGTTCGTCGGTCATATCCCCCAAAAAATTTCCCGTACGTGGCTCGTACTCGTTCGGATTGCCTGTACTTATATATATATACAGGAATCTGCATCATAATACAATACTCGCCTATTCAATAATTCTAAATGTTCGTATAATTTCAGTCGCGCCAGTGCCGTCGTGAATGCCGCGATCACGACGTTTGTCTGCGGAGAAGCTACGACCGCTTCTTCTCGCAATCTCCACGAGACATATATTACCTCGTCGTCGACGGGTAATATATCGGTTATTCCGTGTTCTGGACTCGTGAGCAAAGCTGCCAATCGCTGGTAATTTTTCACGATCTCGGTGTTAGGCAAATTGGATCGTTGACCGAATTTTCCCCAAAAGGAATTTAAGCAGAGCTTTGCAACCGAACGTAGACCTGGATTTCGAGCGATGTTATTTTTATCGAGAACGATACCCTCGGTTTCCTCGTATTCGCGAAGATATCGCTCCTTAGCTTCGTCATCCACGCATTCGTTCGGCCATCCGCTAGCTTCCTGCTTCAATTGCAAAAAACTATTGATATATCCGGTAAACAATCCACCCTGCCGCGTATCGGGATCATATCGCGTGACCTTGTATTGCCAAATTTCTCTCACTTCCGACACGCGATAACCTTTCTTGACGACTTTGCGTAATTCACAGGATACCCAGGTACCCTCGAATTCACGCTCGGCGAGACTGTGAGTACACTCAGCTTGCGAGAACGTTTCGCAGCAACTCCGGCACAGCGCGAACAACAATTTGCCGCGTACGCGATACGGGAGTACCGGATGAAAGAGATCGCGCGGAGGGAGTACTTTACAACGAATGAATCCTTCGAGCGAGTTGAAATCGAAATCCGGAAATACGCCGATTAACTCGGAACATTCCTCTCCGATGTAGATCTTTGAGTGACCGATCGGAAAAGTACCCGTTTTCAGTACATAGGGATACAGAGAGCATACGTCTATGTAGCGTATTTTCTCCGTTCCCGCAACATCGCATCGGGTTGCTATATTCCCCGTTCGGCCACCGAAAAATGCGTCGCGCGGATCGAGAGGTGAGTTCTTTATTATCTGAGCATTTTCAAGAAATTCCCGCATCTCATTATTCTCACGTATTTCTCGGTCGAAATCGCACTCCCATTTCTCCATCACCAGG